AACGAGTATATGCTAAATAGACAAATCTCTATTAGGTACGATAACTAAAATGCGGTTGCGATGAGAAAAAGGCAGGTATAAGACAATAAAGCTCCGTTATTGTCTGCGTAGCTAATACTCAAGCTTGCTTTCGGGCGCACTATAATAAATACTATATTAATAAACCTAGCGATATTAGCTTTTATATACGGCTTTAAAGCCATATTTTATAATTAGAAGATGTTTTATTAGGGTACTGCACGCGCTATCTATCCACCCTAAAGACGACACGTGGCCACACGCTAAGACAAAAACTGTCTGAACCAGCTCCTAAGAGCTGATTACTGCATATACTAACTTCTAATTGCATCGATGTTAGACTAAATAACGTGGTTCACGCTAAGTATAACTTCTACCGTAGAACTCATAACCGCTTTTTGAAATATATATTTTCTACAATGTTAGCGAGCATATTTATTAAGTAATTTATTTGTACACTTAGACTAAATTGACAAACATACGACTAACAGCTCCCCTTTACTACCCTTAGAACAGAAACTAGTAGCCGGCAATTAGCTCGGCTGATAGGTGATATTTCTTTTTGACTCCTTTAGAGAACGGGGCTAATCACCACGTTATCTAAGGCTAAAGAATACGTCTAACGCTATAGGAACTTGTATGGGGGGGGTGGATCGTAAAACTATAAAAACCCTAGATTTCCAATCATCGATTTCCACTTTCTTCAACATCCCTCACTTACATTTATCCACGTTTGTGTATTCGTGCTAACAAAAGCACTATGTGGAAAATTGAGTCATTTCTTTTATCGAAGCTATTCCTCTGTATCGCTCTCTGCACAGCATATGTGGCTTTCAGCTCGGCCATGATGGAACCGGGCTTATGGCTGCTGTCCCGACCCATAGTCCCACTAAATAGGACTTCGACTGTATTCGGCCTCACGATCGTGGCCATTGGACTTTCAGCTCTGAGCTCATGGCTATCCAAGCTAACCCTAAACAACTTTACAAGCGATGATTCTTGGGATTGGTCGCAAGAAATTGTTGTTGTGACTGGGGCTTCAAGTGGTATTGGTGCAGAGATTGTTCGTCTTCTTGCCGAGCTGTCTATTAAGACTTTTATCCTAGACCCTGTTCCTCCAGATAATTCTGTCTTGAGTAAGTATGAGATCTACTTAGAAAACAGCATTAACCCAATATAGAAAATGGTTCCGTTCACTACTACAAAGTCGATATAACGAAACCGAAAGAAGTTAGCGCTGCTGCAAGGGAGATTCAAGTCAAGTTTAGTTCCCCTACCGTGCTTATAAACAACGCAGGTGTAGGGCTAGCTAAAAACCTACTTGATGAGAATGAGACAGAGCGTCGACATTTAATGAACGTAAACTTATTGTCGCAGTTTACAACAGTACAAGAGTTTCTTCCAGCTATGATAGAAAAAAATCACGGCCATATTGTTACAATGGCTAGTTCAGCTAGTTATATCTCTTCACCACAAATCGTGTCATATGCAGCCTCAAAAGCAGCGCTCGTAGGTTTCCACGAAGGTCTAGGCATTGAATTGGTAAAGAGATATAATGCAAAAAAGATTAGAACCACGTTAGTTTTTGCCCCCCTACTATGATTTTTGGGAGTAACATTTTCCAGAATTGTTCACCCGTACTTCGTCCGAACTCCGTTGACTACTCTAGCGCTCAGCAGGACAAAGTTTGCTGTCTCTGCACTTGAGCCTACTGCTGTGGCAAACGCAGTAGTAAAACAGATTCTTTCGGGCAATTCTGGGCGTATTTTCCTACCGTCTAGCTCGTGGTTCATTAGTTTATTACGTGGCCTTCCACCTTGGGCTATGCTGATTATGCAAGAACTGAGTCCGGACGTGTATAGCGCACTTCCAAGTACTAGAGAAGTGGAAGTCTAGTGTGAAGGCCATGTCTTCCTAAATTAAAGACGCCGTAGAAGAGTCACCAAGTCGTTGTCAACTCGTTTCGTTCTTATTCCTAATAAAGTGGTCTAACGTGACATTATAATGAGCGGGTGACAGCCCAGCGAACGACTACAGATACAGTGCTATTAGTCAGTGAGTAACGACGCGGCTATACATGGTACTTGTGGGTTTACACCTAACCTATGCTATAGTTAGAGGTACTTGTTACACGGGGTTCGGCTATACTTCTCCGATCTCGATCTGGGTTAGGACGACTAGACTTTCTCGGTAAGCCGTGTGATTATTTTATCGGAGGATTAGTCGAAAAGAGTTATGGGGCTTTACTAAGGATTGAAACATTGAATTCTATAAAGATAGAATAATGTCGCAGCTTATGCAAGTCGGCAGAAGCAATCACTTCAGCTAAGCCGAAGCAACAAGCCACTCTAACGGCAGCAAGGATACACTACCTCAACAAGAATAAGCAATAGCTATACACCACACATAAATGAAGATGGTAGATACCAGACATACACATTGATTTAATCGCACCCACGCGTACAACAACATCGTAATACTTCTTGCATACATAGCTGCTCACTATAGTAAAGGCTAGAGCCGATGAAGTTCTATAGAACACATAACTGATAGTTAGGATAAATAGAGGTGCCGGACGGGCCAACGCCGCGGACGGGCCAACGCCGGATTTTTCCCCAACAATACT